ACTAGTACACTGGAATTGGCCGAAAATAGGGCTCAAAGTGGGCAAAATCACCTATGCATAAACATCGTCAAGACCGCTAACTTCACGAGAGCATAATCCCGTAAGTTTTCCATCAAATTTCATACTTTTGGTGTCATTATGATCAGGAAAAGATTCTCTCTCTTTTCATAAGAAAAAATAATTTTTTTTTTTCCGAAAAATTTTCGACCCTAAGAAAAAGTTTAGGAGAGGGCCTCTCGACCCTGAAAGGGTGAATCCATTTCAGACACCCAGAAGTATCAACCCCAAAATATTTTTTACCTTAAAGATAGATTTACATGTACAAAAGAATGAACATTACACATGACACTTACCTTTATTGAAGGCTGTTGTTGATGGTTGGAAGACAGGGAGGAAGGGAGAGGGAAGAGAGGCTATTGTTTGGAAGGGGAATCCCCTCCATAAGGACTCGAGGTACCAAGTCCTTATCAGCGGTCACTTCCTTAGCCACTTCCCTAGCTTAACCCCTTCAGGGTCCAAGGCCAAAATCTGAAGTGGTGCTCCAGTGTCCAAGAAATTTTGAAAAAAAAAAAAAAACTTACAGAATTAAAGAGTATATTTTTGTGAAGGTAATAAGACAAAAAACTATTTTTTTCTGATCAGTACTTACCAAGATACAGCAGGGGGAAGTTGACCCAAAATGACCGGGTGGCGGCAACATCAGTGACTTCCGCAAAATCCCATTTTTTTATTTTATGTTTTTATACTTTTTCCTTTTCTTTTCTAATTTTTTTCTTTTTCTAATAACATTTGTGGCCTGTGAGACCAGTATAATGTATATTGTATAAGTGTACACTCATTGTATTCAACACAATAACTGCACTAATTTGTTTATCATTATATTGCTTACAAAACTTGTTTACAAGTTTATTGTAAACAAAATGATGAAAATATTAGTGCAGTTATTGTGTTGAATACAATGGTACCATATGGTACAATGGTGCCATAGGGTGCATTGTATCATATGGTACAATGGCACCATATGATACAATTGTACCATATGGTACAATGGCACATGATACAATGGTACTATATGATACAATTGTACCATATGGTACAATGGCACATGATACAATGGTACTATATGATACAATGCACCATTTGGTACAATGGTACCATATGATACAATGTTACCATATGATACAATGGTACCATATGGTACACATGGTAGCCTTATTGCGGTGCAATTGTATCATATGGTACAATGGCACAATGATACAATTGTACCATATGGTACAAATGGCACATGTACAATGGTACTATATGATACAATGTACCATAAAGGTACAATGGATCATGTACAATGTGGGCGCTACTTATGATACAATGAGCAACATTTGGTACATATGGTACCATATGATACAATGATACCATATGATACATTGGTACCATATGTGCAATGTACCATATTGTCCATATGATGCATATGGTACCATATGGTACATGGCAACATGATACAATGTTCAAATGTATACAATGGTTTACCAATATGTCACAAATGGTACATTATGATACATATGGTACCATGGATACAATGGTTCCATATGATACAATTGTACCATGTGGTGCAATGCTACTTATGGTCCATATGATGCATGGTACTGTTGGTACATTGTACCACTACAGTCCATATGGATACCACGGTACATTGTACATACAGTACAATGTACCATATGGTTCATTGTACTATTATGGTACTATATGGTACTGTTGTATTCAACACAATAAGCACACTAATATTTTCATTATTATTTTGTTTACAATAGTTGTTTACAACAAAAATATGCAAAATGTTGTATATTAGTAATGTTCTATTATACGTATATTTACAAGCGTACAGGAACTTGACGTGTTCCTTGAGGTGGATGACAAAGCACTTTGTCTCAAAAACTATGGAGTCAGTAGCTAGCTTGCGTCGCCACTCACTCAGTCTTGGCTGGTGTCTCATGCCACCAACACCTATTGACCATATGGTACACGGTATCATATGTTACACGGTATCATATGTTACAGGGTACCATATGGTACATTGTACTATATGGTATAGGGTACCATGCAGTACAGGATAACATATGGTGCAGGGTACCATATGGCACAGGGCACCATATGGCACAGGGTACCATTGTCAGGGTACGGTTGTCAGTCCCTCAGCCTGCAGAAGTTCTGTTCCAAAGTCTGGAACTAACTGAAGATCAAGCGACAGTGTTGAGACTTAAAAACTGTCGGAAGGAGAGGTGCAGAGTATTAGTAGTGAGAATGTAGCCACTGGGAGGTCATGTCCCTCTCAGATCAAACAATTCTCACTGGAAAAAAAGTGAGAATCGTTTGATCTGATCTGTCAGACACTGCAACACAATGGCATCTTGGTACAGAAAAGAAAACACCTTGGACAACTTTTTCAAGTGAGAATTGTTTGATCTGAGAGGGACATGACCTCCCAGTGGCTACTTTCTCACTACTACTACTACTCTGTACCTCTCCTTCCGACAGTATTTAAGTCTCAACACTGTCGCTTGATCTTCAGTTAGTTCCTGACTTTGGAACAAAACTTCTCCAGGCTGAGGGACTGACAACCTCAAATCTACAACTTCAAGGGTGACGGACTGATTACAATGTCTTCACATCTCTACTGCTCCTGCCTACTTTCTGTACTCGACTGAAGAAGCCTACTGTGTAGGCGAAACATTTCGGAATAAAGTTGCCTAAATGTTGCCTATGTGTCTTATCTACCAATTTGTCGGTATTGTACACCATTTGATAATCACCCTGACTTTTTTGGGTTATCCTAGGATTTTATATGTATGCTGCTATGTATGATAATCTATGTAATTGTATTTCTGTACACCTGAATAAACTTACTCAAGTGCATGTGGCATCATAAGTAAGTTTATTTAGTTATACACAAATAAAGTTACATAGAATATCATACTTAGCAGCATATGTTTGGAGAACCTAGGATAACCCAAAAAAATCAGTCAGGCTTATTTCCATTAGGGTCCCTGTACCCTGTACCATATGGTATAATGTACCATATGGCACAATGTACTATATGGTACCATTGTACCATATGATACCATTGTATGACATGGCACCACTGTACCATATGGCACAATGGTACCATATGGTTCAAAACCATAGAATTCCTCTTCAGCTCCACTTCCATCAGTCTTAGAACTGTAAGCTGTGAAGAGAAGAGTCAGAATTTGCCCAGAGAGTGAGTGGGGAGTGAGAGCTTCCATGCCGCCAGGCACAATGAACAAAGCTACTTTGCCAGCGTTCCCACAATGCCATGCGGGCGTCCAGATTTTTTCTATGGTGTTCACTTTGACCACCCAGACCAATTCTCTCAGATGTAGGCCTACCAGCCTTCTCGCGCTAAATTTTATGCCGCTAGAATTTTGGCGTAGATCTACAGTTTGGACTCTGAACGTAAAGCCATAGATCTACGGGACGGACCCTGAAAGGGTTAAATATAGATTTACTTGCTGAAAAGAATGACAAATAATGTAAAGCACTAATAAAATGTATAAATGAACATTTAACATCACACATACCTTTATTGAAGACTCTTGTTGGTGTGAGGGAGGGGAGGCGAGTTTATTGTTGGAGAATATGACACTACTATCAACTCTACAGCTTATTTATCTATCACAGTTCAACATGACATAACAATATTAATATCACAGAAACATGGAATATACTCTTGAATGAATAAAATAAGTCATTATGTATGTCACAAGTGGTTTTGTGTTGTTGGGTGTATAAATGCCACTGTGCATAAGCCATCCATAATGGTGGTGAAGGCTGCAGCTGAGGCAGCGGTGTTTTCTGTAGCCTTATGCAACTCCAACTATATTGGAGGAGTTAGTAGAATTGATGAATCACTGAGAAGGCACCTTCTACCACCATCACTACCACCCTCTACCACCATCATTACTACCCTCTACCACCATCACTACCAACCTCTACCACCATCACTACCACTTTCGTATTTTTCTACAAACTTTTCCTTGAATTATATCGTGTTTCTCACTTTCTTTACCAAAGGGCTGGCACTAGAAGCTTTCTTTGGGCCCATGGTGGCTCATTTAGCAGTCACACACAATAAACAGGTGCCAAAAACAATGGATTATTATGAAATGTTTCGTATGACCTGGCAGGATATGTTCACTCACCAAGAAACGCCACTCTGGCTGAGAATGCATGTGGGAGGCAGCTTTGCCTGCACGCTGGGCACTGGACAGGTTCTGTATGATCGACAAAAATGGAGGTAATCGACGAAAACGGAAGCCAAAAATCAATGAAGAGAGTCAGCCCAAACTAAAATTGGTGATAGCAGAGATCGACGAAAATGGAGGGTCCACTGTATATCAAAACTTTTGTGTTCTAAAATATTCAATATTTAATAATATCTTGTGAATGCTTCTTCCCATTGGCCTCAAAATTTAGCCATGCTTGAGAGGGTCGAGTTCTAGCTCACAGGACTATTGAGGGTGTTAAGTTACAGCTCAGTCCAGGCTCCACTATTCTTCTAATATATTATTATAATCAAAGAAAGCACTAAACAGACAAGGGTCATATTCTTCTAACTAGCTTGAAGAGGTTGAGCTCCAGTATTTAGATTGACTGCTAACTGCTAAGTTTGTTCAAGATGTTGCACTCCAGCTCCTGACACTTGTTTGGTTGATCCATACCTTCAATTACTGCTACTGTATTTGCAAGGGTTGATCTCAAGCTCCTGGTTTAAGTGTGGCGAGATGCAGATCCCAGCTCTATACATGGGACAGTAACAGTGAATGGAATGATCTTTAAAGAACTTTACTGTACCTAAAGACTAGTAGATTTATTTGAAATGTTCAAAGTAAAAAAGTCTGAGTGCTGTAAGGTCAAAAATTTATTGGAATAAATAAAATAATGTTTCAGTTAAAGCTGTTGCACCATTCAAAACATGCACAACTTACATTGAATTATACATGCGTTCACCATTTGGGCCAATTTGTTGATTCTGAAGTCGTGTTTTTACCAAGTCAAGGGGAAACACACATGTTACTCCCACGATACCAGCAATCCCTCCATTAAGGATCTTGGGCAACAATCTGAAAACATATTTGCAATACAATAATAAATTGATAAAACAAAATGTCTATTATTATACCAACAACAAACATACAACAATGTACAATATAGTGCATATATTTTTGTATGTACTTAAATACAGTAGCATCATTCATGAAGATCAAGCTCTGACTCATTATTAACCCCTTCAGTGACTGTCACATAAAACAACATCACTAAGGCCAGGGTTACTCACATAATTCTATGTCATGAGCTCATCTCACTCAGATAAGTTGTAAGCAGTAAATTTTCACCTAGATATGTGTGAATGGGTCTGTGTGGCGAGTGTACACAGTATAAAAAAAATCCTGCTCCACACAGTGCATGATGGGAAAATCAAAACTGTGATTATATGTATGATTTAAAATAATGACTCTGTAGTGTTTTCTCAGATAACTTTTACGGTTTTATTGGTTATTTCTTGGTATCATATGATAGAAGATATGCTACTAAAACAGAGATGATTTTCATTGGTATCAGGACCAAAAGTAGCTTAACCCTTAACCCTTTGACTGTTGCAACCCTAATTCTGAAACTGTCTCCCTGTGTCACAAAATATTAACCCTCTGACTGTCATATCCCCAAATCCTGAGGTGTCTCCTGGTGTCGAAAAACTTTTGAGGAAAAAAAAAAATTTCTTATGAAATGATAGAGAATCTTTTCCCAATGGTAATGACACCAAAAGAATGAAATTTTATGGAAAACTTATGGAATTACACTCTCGTAAAGTTAGCGACCTCGGCGATATTTACGAATCGGCAATTTTGCCCACTTTGAGCCCTATTTTCGGCTAATTCCATTGTTTCTTTAGAACTACATTTTTTTCTATCAAATGAGTACAAAAAAACTGCCCATTTACCGATTTCAACTACCTAATAACGTGGTCAAAAATTTGCAATTTGTCCAATTTCACACAAATTAAAAAATATGCCAATTTCAAAATAGGGTCCAGAATGAACAATGCAGACATTCCTGGCTTTAAAATAACATTTTCCTTGTTCATCAGTCAAGTCTCCAGGCCCCTCTGATAGTACTCTTGCTTTCTATTTTGAATTTTTATTCAAACAAAAAATTAGAAGATTACTGTTATGCAGACTACTGCAATATTGTAATAATTGTACAGATAATGTCAACCCATTCATGACTGCATATTAGAATGGCTACTTGGACATTTATTGGACAATGACATCATTTGTGGTGACATGTACTTAGCTCAGTGGTGATGTGTACTTAGCTCTGTGAAGACCTGTTTGTGTGCTCTCTGTGAATCTGAACCAGGATACCCTCTCTTGAGCAACTTTACCAGCAGCTGAAAGAAGAGCTTAGGGTTGCTAAGCTGGAGATACGGCGATTAACGGAGGAGAACAAGAGGATTCGTAGTAATCCTCCTGTTGTGAGTCCCCAGGTTAAGAGGGGAACTTGGTCAGTTGGAAAAGAATCCTTCTTCCATAAGCCATGCATGTTGTAAGAGGTGACTATAATGTCGGGAGCAAGGGGTCAGTAACCTTCTCCTGTATAAATTACCAAATGTAAAAAGAATAAAATCTTTAAGAAAGTGTTCCTTCTTTCGTGGGTCATCATGCCTCAATGGGAGACAGTGTGCTAAAAAATAAAGAAAAATGCTACTACAGGTCCACATCCCTTTATCCGAAATTCTGAAATTCGAAAAGTTCCAAAAACCGAAGTTTTTTCGTGGCATGTGGAGCATCAGTCATCTCTACATAATTCCAATGCTGCCACGTGGCAGCATGACCCAGCACTGACAACCAGAGTGGCAGGTATCAGTTGTGTCTTATGCACCTGTTGTGTATTCCTTGAGTGATGGTGAAATTGTTGAAATGGTGTTAAATACAAATAAGCATGAGAATAGCAGTAATGATGATGACGACATTGTGAACACAGGTGAAAAAGTTCCCACAGATATGGTGAAAATGTGTGATCAGTTAATTGCTGGCTTTGACCAACATGCATTTATCAGTGAGCAAGAGATTATGGCAATTTACTCAGTTAAAGAGAGATTGCTTAGGCAGAAACCTATGTTAATAAGAGAGATCACACTTGAAGTCTTTAAATATGCCGTCTGCAATAGTCTTGAGAATCGTCTTGAGAATCATGTTCCTGGTCTATAATTATCCCATTATTTCATTTATCAATATATTACTCTATAAATAAACCGTAGTAGTATTTGTAGTCTTTATTTATCCCACTTTTTATTTATCCCATGTTTTTGCTGCAGTGTTTATGTTTGATTATGGGGTGCTGCCCTAGACCCCCTCTTCATTCTAAAATTCAAAAAATTCTGAAATTCGAAACACTACTGGCCCCAAGGGCTTCAGATAAAGGGATGTGGACCTGTACTACTACTAATAATAATAATTAAGGATGTGCCAAAGTATCTATCAGCAATTTTTAAGATATCAGTAAAAAGAAGACCTTTTAAAATATTAATATTATGTGTGCTTAAAAATATCAATGTGAAGACTACCTCATTATTGTGCAGGTTAATCACACAAGCAGTAACTAACACAACAAGCCAAGCAATGAGTAATGATATCATCTCAAGAGAAATTAAGTTCACCCAAAATGTACTGCACAGTAGTGGATTTCTTTTGCACCTAACAATGTTTTATTATATTTTTTTTTTATTAACACACTGGCCGAGTCCCACCAAGGCAGGGTAGCCCGAAAAAAGAAAAACTTTCACCATCATTCACTCCATCACTGTCTTGCCAGAATGGTGCTTTACACTACAGTTTTTAAACTGCAACATTAACACCCCTCCTTCAGAGTGCAGGCACTGTACTTCCCATCTCCAGGACTCAAGCCCAGCCTGCCGGTTTCCCTGAATCCCTTCATAAATGTTATTTTGCTCACACTCCAACACCACGTCAAGTATTAACCCTTTGAGGGTCGACAGGCCCTCTCCGAAACTCGTTCTCAGGGTCGGCCAAATTTAAAAAAAAAAAAAAATTATTTTTTCTTAGGAAAAGATAGAGAATCTTTTCCCGATCATAAAGACACCAAAAGTTTGAAATTTGATAGAAAACTTACGGAATTATGCTCTCGCAAAGTTAGCGGTCTCGGCGATGTTTACGCATCGGCGATTTTGCCCACTTTGAGCCCCATTTTCGGCCAATTTCACTGTACTAGTCGACAAAAAACATGAATACAGTGGACCCCCGGTTAACGATTTTAATCCGTGCAAGAGGGGTAATTGTTATGCGAAATAATCGTTATGTGAATGAATTTTCCCCATAAGAAATAATGGAAAAAAAAATTAATCCGTGAAAGACACCCAAAAGTATGAAAAAAAAAATTTACCACATGAAATATACATTTTCCCACACACAAAGAGAAGGATACATGCACAATAGTAGAGTATACATGCACAGTATATATTGTGCATGTACTACTCTACTAAATGAAGAATAAATGACACTTACCTTTATTGAAGATGCAGCAATGACTGATGAGACCTGTGTCCTGGGAGTGCCTTTTCCTCCTGAGTACTGTAGGTCCTGTTTGGCATTTTCTTCCAGAACAGGCCTTATCACACTGTGTATGCCACTACGATTCTTAAATCTCTCAAACCAACCTTTGCTGGCTTTAAATTCACCAATATGAGCACTATTCCAGGCATTTTTCCCTGTTCACCTGGTGTTAGTTGACTGGTGTGGGTTGCATCCTGGGAGACAAGATTAAGGACCCCAATGGAAATAAGTTAGACAGTCTTCAATGACACTGACTTTTTTGGGTTATCCTGGTGGCAAATCCTCTGGGGTTAATTGTTTCTTGGTATTCTCAATAAGCCACACCAACAACGGGGCTACAGCAGCAGCAGCAGCTGACGGTGGTACAGCAGCAACAGACGGTGGTACAGCAGCAACAATGCTACAGCAGCAGCAGCAGCAGACGATGCTACAGCAGCAGCAGCAGCAGCAATGCTACAGCTGCAGCAGACGATGCTACAGCAGCAGCAGACGATGCTAAAAGCAGCAGCAGCAGCAGCAGACAATGCTACAGCAGCAGCAGACGATGCTACAGCAGCAGCAGCAGACAATGCTACAGCACAGCAGACGATGCTACAGCAGCAGCAGCAGCAGACGATGCTACAGCAGCAGCAGCAGCAGCAGACAATGCTACAGCAGCAGCAGACGATGCTACAGCAGCAGCAGCAGCTGTACCACCAATAGTAGCGATACTTATCAATGATCTTTTTCATCTTCTCTATTGTAATTCTCACCCTTATTGCTGTAGGGTTGGCACTAGAAGCTTTCTTGGGGCCCATGGTCACTTATTTTCCAGAAAAAGCACCGAAAACACTGTAATAATACGAAATATTCCGATTGTATGCTTGGATGTTACCGCGGAGGCTGGCTGGTAAACAATGCCACCGGCGGAACATGTGAGCGTGGCTCAGGCCGCACATTGGACGCGTCTCCGAGGAAAATCGGTAAGCGGGTTTTTAAGCGGTATGTGAGGCAAAATTTTTGCAATTAAAGTAAGCGGTATGCGAAATAATCGCTATGTGATGCCATCGTTATGCGGGGGTCCACTGTATTTCGCTAGAACTCCATTTTTTCTATCGAATGGGTGCAAGAAACCACTCATTTATGAAATTCAACTATCCAGTACAGTGGTCAGAATTTAGCAATTTTGCCAATTTCACACAAATTTCAAAAGATGCCAATTTCCGAATAGGGTCCAGAATAAACAAGAAAGACATTCCTGGCACTAAAATGACATTTCCTCTAGTCATTATTCACGTCTCAAGGCCCCTCTTATATTCTTTTGCTTTCCACTTTGAATTTTTATTTTCACAAAAAATATAAGATTTACTGTTATGCAGACTACTGCATTAGTGTAAAAAATGGTATAAATATTATTGGTGCACTTGTGAAAGAATATTAGACTCACCAGTTGACGTGTATTGCACGCTTGGCACGATTTGTTTACTTTTGAAGTTTGGTAAAAATCGAAC